CATTTTCTGGCCGGTATAGCGGTGCATCCATTCTTTCTCTCCTCTCCACTGGCCGCTGCTCTGTGTCCCAGTGGGGAGGAGAGAAACTCTCACAGGCAGCCGAGTGCTGAGGGAGGAGAGCGCTGTGAGTGGACAACGTCTCTCCTCCCCGCACTGTTCAGCCTCCTGTCACAGAAGGCTGAGCTCCGCTCGCTCAACCTCAGCCTCCTGTGACAGCTGTCAAGATGAAGAGTGGGTACAAGCAGTCGGTGATCAGTGATCGCTGAGTGTTTGTAAATAATTGAGGACATAGTATGGTTAATGTATCCTCAATTACGAATGAATGGGAAGTGATCTACATCACTTTCTGTTCATTCATGATTGTGGTTATAGTAAACACACTATGTGCACAAGTTATGAATGGACAGGAACAGTATAGAGGATTCCTGTTCATTCCTGTGTCCTCAATCTCTTTGTCTATTTTAAAAGAGAAATATCAGGGGTCTGTTTAGACAAAAATTAAAAATCTTAAAGTTGAACTCCAGACAAACAGCTAAATGTAGAGATGAAATGAAATTACTTTTATCAGCCAAAGGATTTTTACTTCTGTCTATCCAGTCTTGAGATTTGTATAGATCAACCACACAGCACAGTTCTGTATAGTAGTATTTGTGAATACAGGGCTGCATTAAGGGCTCGTTCACACCAATTGCGGTGCATTCCAGAGTGGTAGCTACTGGTACGCACTGCAATCGCTCACAAAACTTCCCCCTGCATTCTGCCACGCGTCCGATCACACTGAGGGCAGGGGGGGCGTGGCTGTGGTGGCATTAACTGTGATGCACCGCCACGCTGCCCCTGCCCTCAGTGTGATCAGATGCGAGGCAAAACATTACCTGTGTTCCTTTCCACTGCAAACGCAAAAAATAGAGCAAACAGCATTTTTTTGCATTTGCAGTGGAACGGAGCGCGGGCAATATTTTGCCATGCATCCGATCCCACTGCAGGTGGGTGGGGGGCGGGGGCTTGGCTTCTATGCCATTGACTTCAATGCACCGCCATGCCCCCTCCTGCCCCAGAACCTGGGGGGAAGTTTTGTGAGCGAGTACGGTGCGTTCCAGCAGCTACCGCTCTGGAACGCACCGCGATTGGTGTGAACAACCCCTTATTTGTGTCTTACGTCTGGCTGACGTTCTACTAAATGACATGCAATGTAAATTTCCCCTCAGATCATGTCCCAGTGACAATATTACCAGAACAGGAAGTGAAGGGATATCTCTCCATCAAGGTGACAAACTGTAATAAAAACCTGTCAGGTGATCTAACCCGTCCCCCACTTGGCCACAACTAAAATAAAAAAATAGTTTTTCATGGAGTTACATTTTAATTGATATATTTCCATATTTTCCCAAAAGGAAAACGTTTGAATAATGATAGAATTTAATAAACTTTCAGCATAAAGGGAAAAAAACCCTCAGCCAAGTCATACCTGGCAACAGTTATATATCGGATGGCAATGTAATAAAAAATTGGCCATGAGAGGACCTCATCTGTCAGCATATTCAGCAATAATAGGAACACGTCTATTGTTCCCTACATGATTCGGGCTTTCAGTCCGGATGCCAAACAGTTGGATCCTTAAGGGCTGGCCAAAAGTGTGCATGACCAACTTGGATAAAATCCCAGATCTTTCCATAATCCAACTGAGCAGCCATGGCTGCCACTGTGAGCCCAGTGTAAGTTTTAGTGTCAGTGTTATTATTTCCCAGACTTTGCCTTAATTTTCTCATTGAGACTTAATCTACAAAAAGTACGTCACGACATAAGGAATAAAATAGCAAACAAAACAAGCATGCCTCCATTCTTCCTGTAAACCCATTATAACATGCATACAGTCATAACCTGACTACAAATGCGTGTCTGACACACAGTAAAATACACAAAGCAGTATACAAACAAGCTGACCTTGGTGTAGACAATACGACAGAAAATAAACAAAACGGACTGAAAATAGGACAGAAAATACACAAAACTAGACTGAAATTACACAAAGCAGTATACAAACATGCTGACCCAGGTATACACAATAGACTTCCCTCCACAAAAACAAGGTTAAACACAAAAATGGTCAACATAACAACTAGCTATTATACATCAGTAAGACATTTTAGCCAGCATGGAGGCAACATCAATACCATGAATAAAGCTCAAAAAAAATGTATTCATTTTGTAACAAAGAAAAAATTGGATATGTTATTGCTTAGGTTTTAGCTTTTCATTGATCACGACTTTGGAGAGCCAAAAAAAAACCAAAGGGAACAACACTAAATGTATGTAGTTCAGAAGCCAGTAATGTAGCACTAGGCCAACTCTCCTAAAGTTTAACCCATTTATTCATACATTAGGGATGCACCGATACCGGTTTTTCGGTATCAAGTACGTGTACCGATATTTTTCTATCGGTACATGCCGATAACGAGTACCGATGCCGATGCCGGTACTTCCGCTGGCATTGACCTGGCTTCCTGGCCAATCAGGAAACTGGGCAGTGAGTCATTAACCACCGCACGGCTTCTTGATTGCCCGGGAAGCCGGCTCCATCCTGTTTGGCCGGCTCCATCCTGTTTGGCCGGCTCCATGCTAATAGGCTGGGAAGCTGGCTTCCCAGCCTATCAGCATGGAGCCAGCCAAACAGCACTAGGGATTGGTGGCTTTCCATGTTAGGTATGTGGGAACCAACAGTTCCTAACATAAACATAGCACACATTGCTGCTGTTCTACTTAATCCTAGGATCCACTGGAACACAAACCTAAGGATTAGGGAAAGGTTTCATGATATTCTTACACATACTTTATTCTTTAGTTGTTTTGGGCACCAAAACCAGGAACTAGCCATGCTTAATTCCCAGAGACACAACTAAAATAATATGCTCTTTTCAACTTTTCCCTTAACAAACAGCTTGGTCCTTCTCACTTCCACCCGATGAGGATTCCTATTGGTAATGAGGCCACTAATCATGTTAAAGGACCAATAGAAGTTGGGAGGAGGTGGTGTGAAACCTAGCATTACAGGGAAAGTTGATATTTGCATATACAATCAGCTGTCTATATTTCTGGATCTACTGACTGTTTTGACATGCAATTTACACTAATGAGACTTCTGTTTACACGTGTTGTCAGATATGCTCAGTTTTAATCATCTGTGAAAGGTTCAGTTTAAATTAAAATCCACCAATCCAATGCTCAATTATCAACCTGCCTCAGATCTGAGAGCTGGTCTTCTAGGAAAAAACATATGTAAATGAGGGAAGGGTGGGGTTAAGGAAAGTTGAAATGCATTTGCCTATTTATAAATCAATTATCTTTTTATAAAAATCAATATTTGCTTTTTATGCCGAAAATTCCTTAGCACACTTTGCAGCTTCAACACACAGTATATCATTAAAGCTGTACATCAAAACATAAAATTATAAACAAATATGTAATTATTACATAAAAAACCCATGAAGATCATTATAGCTAGGAAGAAAAATAATTATAATCAGGGATACAAGTTCTATATATTATACAGTACACAATTATCTTAATTGCACCTGTCACTTATACACAAAAAGAGGAAGCCGTTTTGTGACCTGAACCAATCTGCAGCTTGTCAATTTTTCTAGAAATTTGTGACAGAATAGTGGCATTAAGAAAAAGAAAATTGGTTTGGTCTAAGAAAAGAACACACCATGTCTTAGTAAAAGGAGGCAGACATGCTGTGGGTTGAACCAATATTTAGGCCTGTGGATCAATTTGGATTTAGCCACATGTTAGATATATAAAGTGTCAAATAAACATGTCACCTGTTCACCATGAGGTGACTATCTTAGAGGGAACTTGTGCGCCAGTTAAAGTTTTAAAGTAAAGGCAGACATCACAACATGACTCCTGTTACTTTTATTTCCCAGAAACCTCTTCTGTGCCCCTCTCTTATTTTGTTTCACTGTGTTACAAGGTTTGATTCTCCCTGGGTTAATGGCCACCCTCTGTCCGATGAAAGTACCTATAATGGGCACTAAGCCAACTGGTCTCATTGGATACTGGAATTGCAGTTGGTGGGGCTGAGCCATGAAGTCAGAAGAAGGCAGGCACAAAGTAAACCAAATCAGAGAGGGACATAGAGGAACTCTTTATTGGTAATGAAGGAGTATTAGGCATCTTGTGGTGCCTGCTCTTAGGCAGCATTTTTATATCAAAATTTTAAGTGAAGCACAAGTTACAGGCAACCTAGAGGTACCTGCAGATACCTGCAGCAGCATTTGCTCATAGTGCAGAAGTATAGGGGCTTGACTACCCCTTTCTGCATGTCCCTTTTGGCCACTAGCTCTACTCATTGGCCAATAGACAAGTCTAAAAGGCATGGCTTGGTGGAAAGTTCCAACACTTCAGGCTCTCAAAACTCCTTGGAAATTGGCCATGACTGGAAGGTTTGGGAGGATTTTTTTCAGATAGTGATGGAATTTATTTACTAAAGGAATAAAGCATGTTCACTTTGCAAAGCGAATTTCCACTTGCTTAGTGAATGAGATGAAGCTAAATGAAAATTCACTTTGCAAAGAATAGGAATATTTTTTTAAAAACAAGATTTTGGATTGCACATGATTGGATGATTGAGGTCAGCACATCTTCACCTCATTCACTAAGCTGCATCTCATGCACTAAGTTCAGTGAATGTTAACTTTGCAAAGTAAAACACCTCCTTGCAGAGTGAACATGCTCTCCTGCTTTGGTAAATTAGTCTTAGATTCTCTTTAAATGCAGAGCCACCAGTCAGCTTATCATCTTACTGGGAACAAGTATTATGACCGAGCAGAAAAATCAACGTTGGCTTAATATTGGTCCAGTTCACAAATGGCGACTCTGAGAGATGGACTAACTTCAAAGGCAAACATTATTTTATGTAAACAGTCAAAACCTGCGTGGTGCAATTTGTTTGGTGAAAGAAAAACATTCTAAAAAAAAAAAAAAAAGGTACGTACCAGTAAACTGAAACATGGCGTCTGCCCTGCCCTCAGGAAGAAAAACAGACTTCAGCCAGTCAGCAGGAGATTTCAAACCATTTCTCAGACACAAAGGCCACAGGAATTAGGTGCCGATCAGAGGAAGTAGGTCTGCAGCGAGCAGAAAAGAGGGCTTGCGCGTGCTGGTACGTAACACAAAACAAGCAAGCCTAGTCAGGCCTGCTGCAAAAAATAGCTAATTAAAAGAAACATGCTCTAAACCAATGCTTTATAGACAACCTGACCTCTTTGTATACATATATCAAATTATTTTCAATAAAATATATGCATTATTTGGTTCTACAATATTCAAATTTACCAAGGCACATACAGACATCAATTAGGTTTCTTTTAAATGTAGTGTTTTTTGCGTAAGTTAGGTATCCATTCTGTATGCTGTGGAACAGCCATTTAGAGATTCATATATCAGTGTCAGTAAGTTCATTATTTCCTCACAAAGTAGGTGAATGGTGGCCCTGGAATAGGTGAATGGTGGCAATGGGAATAGGTGAATGGTGGCACTGGGAATAGGTGAATGGTGGCACTGGGAATAGGTGAATGGTGGCACTGGGAATAGGTGAATGGTGGCACTGGGAATAGGTGAATGGTGGCATTGGATTGTTAGGATTGATCTAGATAATATATGGTATAATCCTAGGTGTGAATGAGCTAAGTAAGCTGCTCTCAAAGAACCATGGGTGTCATGATACACTTGGGAACCCCGGAGGAGGACATCAACTCAATAAAACGTTCCAGAATGGTAGGTCAGTGAGCATGTAAATTACAAGAGGGTATTTTTACTAAAAGGTCCAATTTTTTTAAGGGTCATAAAACTCCCCCTACATCAGGTCTCAAAGGTTTGAAGGATTGCCTGGGAGCTGCTGGATTTGGTACATAAACAGTAAGTAGGTATGTATGGAATGCCAAGCACTGGATGGCTTTTTACAATTTCCACACACTGTTTATTTAGGTGCTATCTTTGGAGCAGCCACTGTTCCGCATCCAGAAGCTTTTATACTTTAAACCCTGAATAAAGGGTATTTTGAGAAGCCTTGAAACCGCACAAAAGAAAACAAAAAACCCTCTGGTACATTACATGCTGATTAACCTATTAATCTGGCACCCCAAGTTTTCTTAAGTTAAGTCCGATTTGAAGCTTTCCTAGAATATGACAAGTGGAATGTAAACATTAAGTTTTCATACTCACTTTAGTGCATACATTTCAATGTGACCCTTTTGCACAGCCATATTGGAAGCCATAGCACATCCTTTTTTGTAAAATGTTGCTTTTTTCTGTGAGCTAAGGCAATACATTTAACCTTTTTTAGGAGCAAACAATGTTACTTATTGTTCTTTCAGTAAAAATGATTTAGTTTCAGTAAATTCACAAGCTGCCATGGCCTTGCTTACAAAATGTTTGCCTCCGATAAAAAAAAAAAAAACAACTAAGCAATACATTGTTTCGTGTGCCACCTCATAGTCAATATAATTTTGTCTAACCTTTGCAGAATCAATTTTTGCCTTCAGTTATTCCTAAACATTTTAACATCTATTCCTGATGATAAATACATTTTCAGCTAAATTTAACATTTCAATATTGAGTTTCCTAAATCAGCTTTAGAATTTCAAACATATTTTTCAATGTTGTTGTCAATAAATGTAGAAACTGGTCTAAACATATCTTTTAAAAATATCTTTAGTTTAAATGAATGTATACACAGTGGTAATCTGAATATTAAAGATACACTAAACTCAGATGCTTGATCTTAAGAATGCATTTAAGTACCTTAACTATTAACAACAATTTGCTTTATTTGTGCATTACCCAGCTGTAGATCCTCAAATCATCTCTGAATTGGTGCTGACACTGTCCTTCATTCTGGAGGGGAGCTACATTTGTTCCCCATAGTCTCTGTGTGTGTTGTAAAGTAGTCACCGCTTCAAGCTTGCTCACTTGATCGACTACAATGTAATGTTTAGTTTACTAATTTGTATTGAAATTATAGTCTATTACGGGAGCGAGCTTGGAGCGGTGACTACTTTACAACACACACAGGGACCATGGGGAACAAAAGTAGCCCCCCTCCAGAAGGAAGGACAGTGTCAGCACCAATTCAGAGATGATCTGAGGATCTACAGCTGCGTGATACACAAATAAGATACATTTTTGTTAATAGTTAACTTACTTGAATTAATTTTTAAGATTAAACTCCTGAGTTTAGTGTCACTTTAAAGTGTATATGAAACCAAAATTTTTATTTTTACTACGGGTTTAAATTAGGGAATGGTTAGAACCCGGATCAGGTATTTTTTCTTGTCTGTGCATGGTCTGAGAGATTTCCCTTCCCTTCCAGAGACACAGCAGGACGATCTCTCCAAAGTGAGGGGGAATTCTCTCTTAGCCAGTTGTCATCAGGCTAGATGTGCCCATTGGAAGATTCATCCCTCACCTTCTGTTCCAGCGACAATGCAAAGATTTTGAATTTTCAATAACTTATTGTACCAGAAGCAATGGTCATCAGGAACAAAGGGGGAGGAGGTTAATGGAAACAATAATACCTGACAGGGGTTCTAATTCTTCTACATTTTATCCAAAACTAAGGAATACTGCGATAAATATACATTACAAAAACGTTATTAATTTTATTAGTCATAATATACAAACGTCATTATGCCATCACAGAAACCCATACTGTTTGCATTAAAAAAAAAGCAATATTGTCTATTGCACATTAAACCTCAAAACCTGCTACTACAGGAAATTTCAGCAAAGAATTGACTGTTTATCTGAACCAGCCTCATATAGTCCATGTACTATGGACAATGAGGCATCATGATAAGATAAAATCAAGGTCTCATCATAGCACAGCTATAGCAACAGTAAAATCCATGGAATGCAGGGATAAATGCGTGATCACACACCTTTTTGTATCAACTGGCCACATGCTACAAGGACATAGAACTATGGTAGATGTTTATTGTGGATAGAAGTGAACTATCTCTCCCTTATTTCTTTTCTTTGATTTTTTTTTATGAGATTTTTTTTTTTTACTGCATTTTTAAAATAGACAAAACAGATATCTATAACAAAGGAAATACAAGCAATAAACTGAAAACAGAAAAAAAATAGGAAGCATCAACATTTGGGCCATATATATGAAAAATCTTAAATTGTCCAGATATATTACCCTTTTGTATGGGAACAGATAAAATCAGCCATTCTATGGACGGACATATTGTCCCAAAGATATACATCTTAAATAAGTAAAGGTATAAATATAAAGAAAAGACAGTGACCAAACTGAGGTATCTGTATAGAAATCCTAAGTATGCGGTAAAACAAAGTACCAGGTTTTAAGACACCACAACCTCTTGAAAAAAATTGTAATGCTCGCGATGAGAAATAAGGGAGATGCCATGGGTCGATAAACAAGCCAATGATACCACATTGTTGAATGTTTACGGGTGGAGCCCCTAGATTGATAAGTACATTTTTCAAATGCAATAATTCTATCTAATTCCGACATCCACATTTCCACAGTTGGGGGATGAATAGATACCCATTTAAGTACAGATATTTTATGGGGCACAAACAATGCTCTAGAAAGGGCAGCTGAGGTGTGACTATCCAGTAAAAAGCAATCAAAAGAACCAAAAATACTTGTACATGCATTATGAGTTGATGTGAAGTTTAAAACATAATTAAGGGTAGCTATAAATCAGTCCCAGGAGTGGAGGACATCTCCAAGTAAATGTATTAAGGATCCCTGATTAGCTCTGCATTTGGAACAGGACAAGTTAAGCCAATTTTATATTTAAAAAAATCAGGGTTCAATAGGTTCTATGCAGAATAAAAATCTGAGTCTGAGGCAGGTATTATATTATCCTTCAATTTATGCCCTAAGTCAGATTCCCATCCTAGTTTACATCTTAAAGGGAATTTTTGTAAAAAAACAAAACAAGTGTAGAATTCATTTTTTGGAGATTGTTTTGACCAGCTCATCAAATACAGGGTTAGAAGATATGATGGGACCCATAAGGCCCAATTGTGTTTGTTTTCATGTTCAATAGGTGGAATGCACCTAAGCCTACAGAACTCTAACAACGCATTTATTCCATGCGTCACACTGATTATAATTTTTCTAAAGTTGTGCTATGATGAGACCTTGATTTTATCATATCCTGATACCTGATTGCCCTTAGTACAGAACTATACAGGGTGGGTTTGGAAAACAGGCAATTTCTGGCTGGAATACCTCTAGTAGGAGGTTTAGGGGTTTGATGTGCTATAGACATTTTAAAGCTAACTGTGTGGTTTGTGTGATGGGACCATGAATTTAGCATATTGCATTATAGGTTGAACTCGATGGACATGTGTCTTTTTTCAACCTGACTAACTATGCAACTATGTAACTATATTATTCATAATAAAATTAACAATTAAAAATGAACAGTATAAATAGCAATGCATATTTATTCCTGAGGTTCTATATACCATTTATTTTCTATATATTTTTTGATTTAACGAACCAGCACCAATTAGGAGCCAGGACTATACACATAAACTGGCAATTTGTTGCTGCTTCAACCAATTTTATTTTTTACTCTACATACACTTTAAACTAATAGAATTGGTGTAAGAAAGACTTGTATTTTTTTCCAACACTCCTGATCCATCAAGCTGTAGATGCAGGCTACCCAGCCAATCAGCATCGAGCTAGCTGTTTGGCCGCGGGTCATTACCCACCACCCAGCTTCCTGATTGGCCAGGAAGCTGGCTCGATGCTGATTGGCAGGGAAGCCGGGCTTCCCGGCCAAGTCATTACCCACCGCCTGGCTTCCTGATTGGCCGGGAAGCTGGCTCCATGTTCCCTTGTGGCACTCCCAGTCAGAGGAAATCTCTCTCTGACCGTAGTTCCTGTATCGGGGGTAAGTACCGGAGCATTTGAAGCGAGTACGAGTACTCGCCCAAATACTCAGTATCGGCACCGATACTAGTATTGGTATCGGTGAATCGCTATTGCACATGATTGGATAATGGAAGTGAGCAGAGTTTCACCTCATTCAGTAAGCTAAGGGAAAATTCCTTTGCAAAGGGAACAGCCTATTTG